ATGGACAGATGTGCGCGAGGGGATTTAGTGTCGAGGGAGGGAATCGCTCAGGGCATAAAACTGACTGTGCGTGCGCGCGCGCGCGTGCTCTAGCTTGTGGGTTTTTCTTTTTTTCTCTTTTTTTTTTGGAGGGTGAATGGATGGACCAGCTACTCTGTTGCGCTACAGACACCTCTCTGTTCTTCTACCTGCAGTCAGGGCTTTGGCTTAAGCTGCCTTTAGTTTCACTGTGCTCGCGCGTGTGTGAGTTAGCGATTGAGGGAGAGACACAGAGAGAGAGAGAGATAGAGTGAGATAGTCTGCCGGCAGCAGCAACAGTGTCCGACTACTGACCGATGGACCGCACAGATTCTTTCGCCCACACATTTTTAGGCTGCTAGGCACGAGATAACAGTTAGCAAATGTGAACAACACTTTCCTTTTTTGTTGTAATCACTAACTTGATTATATTAATTGTAGGGCTGCAACTAAAGATTTTTTGGGTAGTCGACTAACAAACAATTTTTCGCTCGTTAGTCGATTAGTCAGGGATTATTTCAATAACTCTAATTATCTCCGTGTCCTGTGGAGAAACGTCCTGTTCTAGGCTCCAGTACCTCACCTGCTCAAGTCTGCCCACCTGCGAATATCACCCTTTTGTCTCATCCCACAGCAAATTAAAATAATGATCCAGGAAACATATGAATTAGGTATTAGGCAATACAAATTATAGCGCGAGTAGTATTTAAACAAATAATAATGTGCAAATAGGAATTGGAAAAAGACTTCTGTCCCTACGTTCAAAACAAGCTTCCAATTAAATCAAATTTTTTTTTAGTTTCCAGTCCAAATTAACAAAGTTTCCAAAGTTTCCAGATGATTCAGTTCATGAATTCACGATTGCAGTGGGCGTGCTCTGGAGTTACGCTTGCTGATAACCATGCTAAAGATGCTTGCTGTTGTGACTTCAGCCATCTGTGAGGTGCTCAAGCCTTTTTACAGGACAAACACATCTATACAATAAAATCCTGCGTCGATGAAATTTTATAGTCGACGTCATCGATTATGTCGACATATCGTTGCAGCCCTAATTAATTGACAGTGTCTGGAGACACTGATGTAGTAGTGGGTGTCCAAGCTGTGGTGCGTGTGTGTGTGTGTTTGTACGCGTGCATGTGTGTCTTTGAAAATGATCTGCATACATCATGTAAATACACAGTATAACAAAGGAAGGACTTGTGTTTACTTAGATAATGAAAGAAGGAATGCATATAATCCACAAATAAGGATGCTTCCTGAAATGGTGCCATTGGTTTCTCCTTATATGACAGGCTTGGACAGGTGACAAATTAAAAGAAAAAACATAAACGGTTGACCCGGCAGTGAGGAGACCCCCGTTGGCTCTGTTATGCCTGTGGGGTTATTTTGCTGATGGTTTTGGTCCACTCGTCCACTTAGATGAATGCGTCGCTGCAAATTTGTGGAGACATCTGACATCCTGTGTTTTTACATCCTGACTAGAATGGTGTCTTCCAGGATTATAGGGCCTCCATCCATAGGGCACAGTGGTTCACTGAATGGTATGATGACTATGAAAATACTATGACTCATTAACTGCAGCTTTCGCTACACCTAAATCATAATTACTTGCACATAATTAACAAATAGCCTAACGATGACGCTCGACACCATCACCAAAACACAAAACTGGGGAATACATTATTATATTTTATCTCACTTCATCAATTATTGCCGTAATACCGAAGTCAGTAGTCATCAGTATGCCATTATATGGGGTGAAGTTCACAAATATATGCAATATATTTGTGATAATACAGCAGTTAACTGATGAATCAGTGAACATTGCGTGCTTCTGTCTACATGGACAGAAAATCACATTTAACTATTACATCTGTACTCAGCAACCTTACCCTGTTCCATATGAATATATCTTGAATACAACCAGCTAGCAGTCAGCTAAGTCAAGTCCCCACGAGTTATGCTTATTCATAAAGACTCAGACTGATATCAACATGTTGGCAATCTGTCTGCATTTATAAATTAGATAGAACTTGCAAACCTTCTGCAGCCTCTCTATTGGTGACTGTCCAAGTCAGACTGTTTGCAGAAAGGTTGCTTCCTATCAAGTGAGATAAGGCCTCTTGTTTCTACTATTCCCAGAGAATTTTAACTTTTTAACAAAACACACATATTTAGTGTCTCTTTATCAATACAATATTGTCTCACAAAATATCACAATACAATACTGAATCTTTTTTCTCTCCCAACCCTATTATTTATCAGAATCAGGATCCAAAATCCTGCTATAATTTTGTTATTGTGAGTATTTTCCTTTCATTTGTCACATGTCAGTTTCCTAAGCAGGCGGGTTTCTTCGTATGCCATATAGTAAATTAGCTTTCACTAAAGTGAAAGCCTTTACTGGCCTTTTTTACTCTGGCTCCGTCAATCACTGTCGTCACCTACTTGCGTAAATAAAAAATACATAAGAGCTACATGTCAAACTATAGAGAGCCCCATATCTTCCCTTAATAGTATCAGTTTGCCTTCCACACATTTCTTAATTTTCTCTCCACCTGCTGCATTCATTTGTCAAATGATTCCTTTTGTTGCCCCTGGAGGAATGATGAGCAGTCTCCAATCAATTGCAATCACAGATCAGTGGTGCACCAAGGAAGAAGGGGGGGAGAAAATCAGTATGGGAGGAGTGCCTGGGAGACCTAAATAATGACCACCTACCAACCAAAAGCCTTTGGCTTGCTGCAATATAATCTTCACTTCATCAGGGTGCTATTGAACTGTGTTACTCATAAAAACATCTGTGGTGCTTACTGTTAGGTTAGATCTCAAGAGCTGACAAATATAATACTAGCAAAAACTTTGATTTCAGTTTCATTTCAGTTTTCATGAATGAAAACACTATAAATTGACACTGTAGAGTTCACTGTGCATAAAACGGAGGAAAGAAAGATAGGTGAGTGGAGGACTGGACTGGTGCCAGATGGGTGGGAGCTTCAGTAGTTATTGAAAAGTTAATGACTTGAGCCATTAGTGCTATTTTATGGTCTTAACCTCAGAGCACTTAGAGACCAAGATAGTTAGAGCTCAGCTAGCCTAGGTTAGGCATCTTGTCCTAGGATCCAGGTCAAACGATGGTGGTTTGGTGAAGGAGTCTAGATGTAAAACATAATATTTGCTATCAGAGAGAAAGGACATTCTTTTTTCTCTTTCTATTCCATATGGCCAGTATAATAGCACAAACTAATGTGGAGATTAAATGCATAAAAAATGTTGTACATATGTGACGACATGTATAGTGTGCACTTCTGATTACTGATGGGATATAAACCCAGATGGCTGGGAGCGTGACTGACTGCTTAGCTGCCTTGCTACTAAATCACTACTGCTACATCTCACAGCTGACTTTGTTGAGATGTTGCCATTTTGCAACTCTAGACTCCAAGCTGTAGATACAAATTCAGCCTTATTGATAACAGTGTACAAGAAATGTAGGATTTAAAACACAGGTCTGAAACCTCCTATGACAAGGAGACATATGGGACCGAGACTAATGGGCTTAAAAGTCAGTATTTTATATGATCACTAGTAGTTTTCCAGCCTTGTTTAAGGAAATTAGAAGCTCTTCTTTGGATGCTGACTGTCTTTTGTTCAGTTCAGTGTGATCATGATCAAATTCTGCTTCAGTGATGTTGCGGTTCAGGTTCTGGGGAGGCCAGTCCATGACTGATAGTTTTCCATTGTGTATTTTCCTATCCAGGTACACCTTTACTACATTGGCAGTGTTTTTGGGATCATTGTCATGCTGAAAAATTAAGTTGTTGCCAATTTGTACTGCATGGCGGATCAGCACCTGATGATACTTTTCTGTGGTTCATACTTCCATTGACTTTCACGAGGATCCCCAACAGTGCTGGCTGAAATGCACCAAACCATGACTCCACCATGTCTTTCAGATGGCTGTAGATAGTCACTTTGGTACCGTTATCCTGCCCTCTTCTATACATACTGCTGATGATTTGAGTTAGAAAATAAATTCATTTGGATCCATCACTCCATCAGACCTGTTGCCCCTGATTTTCAGTCAGGTTCTTGTGTAGTTTAGCGTCTCAGCCTTTTTTCCCTGCTTCCCTTCCTTAATAATGACTTGTTGACAGCCACTATTCCCCTG